TCAATGCTGCTATCAGAATTATCTTCTTCATTCTCATATGCCTGTCTCTTATACACATCTAGATGTGTATAAGAGACAGGCATTATATAATGATGCCATTATGTTAGATTTTAATCTAAACTAAATAGGCCTAGATGAAGACCATACAGTAGTCAGTCAAGGTAATATAATGCAAGTTATTCATAAATTTTCACAACAAAAACTATTAAAACAATTATTGACCTAATATTTGTCACTAACAAAATATATCAACTTATGGTGTAATTAGCCTTCGGCTTACTGACCATTGATTGATTTATTAAAATCGCAAAATTAAAAAAAATGTACCAAAAAGTTAGTAAATCAAGATCATTTAAAACGTTTAATGACAACAACTTTATTGGAAACACATTAAACATTGCCAAGATGAAATTTGCAAACAAACAAACAAACGATAAATACTTCGTTTAAAAAAAAAAAAAAAAAAAAGCACTTAAAACAAAGGACCCTAAAATGTCTGGGAAAAGGCTAAACAATTAAGAAATACTGTAAGGTGAATAATTTAAATGCAGAATGGAAAGACCTTATAACGATATTTTAGTGTTTAAATGGTATTATTAAAAACTTTTTGATACTTTTATCCCCTACTAGCATTTTTTGTCTGGATTCTCTCCTGCTGATAATGTTAACAAAGGTGACAAATGATCTTTACGATTATAATGATGATGAGGATGTTGGCGACGATGACAAATATTATTGGGGTATTAAAACGCCAACCAAATATATAAATATTTAAATAACAATATTTATAATCGGTCACCAAAAAAGTTGCAATGAAAAATGTAGCATTGTTTAAGTCAATTAACTCTGTACAAAATACTATGAATTTCAGTGAGAGGCGTTTATCAAATATAGCGCCCCCACGATTTTTTTTTTTGTGGGGGGGGGGGGGTCGTGCAATGAAAACAAGAGCGTGAACATTTTTTCCCTAAAATTGGGAGGAGGAGGGCTTAACCAGTCCAATTTTACCTCAGCCCCACCACGGTTGGGGTAGGAAATTTTAAAATATAGAACTTCTAGATGACCGGAAAAGACCCTCTCATCCGGACCTTCGGACCAATGAACCTTCGGACCAATGGATCTTCGGACCAATGGACCTTCGGACCAATGGACCTTCGGACCAATGGACCTTCGGACCAATGGACCGTCGGACCAATGGACCGTCGGACCAATGACTAGCCACCCTCAAAGCTAATCCTATTTATGTTGGTTTACGAACCACTGACTTGGGTTGTTTGTCATCACTCTTAAAGATGTAGCCTAAGGTAGTATGTTTAATACATAACCTAAAGTACTTAGGCCTAGCCTAGCTCAAGTATTTTATTTTGAAAAGTGCGCACGCATAGTATAGGTAAAGTTCTCGCCCGTTGGCGCACGCCCCGCAAGTTCGGCACGCGACGAACTGTTGTTAGAGCATGATAGGCCTAGGCTAAACCAAGCATTACAGACTTTAAAGTTGCTAATATTTGTCTATAATCAACAACATCAAGGTGCATGACAATAACCTAATATAAATTACACTTATACATAAAAATTACTTCTCCTACCATGCTCCTACTAGGCCTAGGCCAAACATTCTAACTTCCGAGCCTGAATAGTGTAAACGGGACAGCAGTTCCACTATTTATTGGCCAGTGCAGGGTTGCCAGATTGTCGACAGGCTTCACGCTGGCTTCACAGCCAAACACGCGCCATCTCACGGCCAAATTCGGCCAAACTTTTTTTCGATATCGGCCAAAATTCGGCCAGATTTTAATCCGATTAGAAGACAACAGTGGGTACGTTCATTTTAAATACTACAAAAATTATACGAAAATCAGCGGTCATTCGTTTGAAATTGAAGAAATGCAAATGATATACACAGAA